GAAGACACTGAAATGGGCTTTAATATCATCGCTAACCTCCCGCCCGACCAACGGCGAACGCCCTAACCTCGGGCGAAGTCATTGAGGTACATTTTCTAGTGGAACCACCAACATTAACTAGCAAAAAGGTTAACGCAGTACAAAAGTGGGAAGATTGTGGAAATCGCTCTACTTAAAATTTGTAAGTAAGCGGTTATTCCCGTGGTTAATTTAAAAGGCTAATCTCGCTTAGTATACTGACGTAAGCGGTTATGATGTGCGTTGACCTTCGGAGGACCAATCTGCAGTTCAATGCCTTCATCAAATCCCTGCTGGACCGACGGAGTGCGTGTAGAAATCAGGAAGATTGTGAGTAATTCAACCTACTTAAAACATTTAAGTAGGAGGCTATAACACATAAGGACCTTTCGAAGACCCTACTTGGAAACCCCACCGACGAAACAAAACCCTTTCCGCACGAGTCCTAGGTCCACCCGAGTGTGTGGTCAATGTACGATTAGTTGATTGTTCACCACCATGCTAACCCCCCTCCCCATGGCTGGAATGTTGCGATCCAAACAAAAGACGAGAAACATTTATACTGCAGCAAACATCGGCAAGACACCACTCTCAAGAAGCTTGACACATGCTGTTCAGTTGCACGGATATTGCATATTTCGACTAGGAAGCATAAGCGGCTAGTGTCGAAGTCGAATACAACATTCATTTTAAATGAAATTGTTTCTAAGGCAGAACTCACAAGGGTTAATAAAGGAGAACAACCATCCGTTCGCAGTGCGCTCGGAAGGCGGAAGCCCAGTGATGATACCGGGCCAACTATATGCATAGGAAAGCGACAAAGACATGCCAAATCTCCAAAATTCACAACCACCATCCCTTGGCACATGAACTGATTAAAGATATTCTTCAGAGGGATATTTTTTGGGAATGCGCCTATTTCCACGATTACTCATCTTACAGAAAGGCCTCCGAGTGCAACTCCACGCCGCTGTCATGAGAGCGGGCACCGTGGCTATCGATTTTTCTTCAAGGCCGATTGGTCTGCCGTCGCTGACGCCTGCTCGTGAAGCGGACTGAATAAATACGCCGCAGCCTTTTGCAAGAGTGACTTGACTTGGTTTGACTTGTAGTGGCTGATAGAGTTCTCTTGTTCTCTCGTGCTGGCGTTCAGGACAATAGCTAGGCTAGCTCAGAGTACCAGGCGCGGGTGGCAACAGATGTATACACTGACTCACTGCGGATAACAAGAAGGCGGTCTATTGTCTTCACAGTAAATTTATGCGAACTGACTGTGATACGCCTTCGATTATCCGGCGCTTATTATCTGTGTCCCAGAGAACCCACTCAAAAACCCGAAGAGTAGGCATTCCATACCACATAGAAGGAGTCTTTAGGAAGCGTTTTGACAAATGGTGAAGGAACTTGGCATTTCAAACCGGCCTGTAGCTAGCAAAAGAGAATTAAAGTCAAGTCAGAAAGCTGGTTTCATGTACTGCATCCTATGCCTTACTTGTCCTTGAAATCTCACAAGGAACACCAGGAGAAAACTATGATTGCGCTCACATAAGCAGAGAGCAATTATAGGATACGGTGAAAGTTCGGAAAAAGCGTCACTTATACTCGCGAAAACACCACCTCTAAAGCCAAAAACACACCTGAATGGTCCAGGCCTTAACCTCATCCTTGCCGCAGGTGAAGAAGTATATGAGCTGCAGAGTCTTGTAACCCGTCTGGATGATTTTGGGCAGGACGGAAGTGGTGCCTGGCATCTCTTTGTGGAAAGCCTCCTGTTCTTCAGGCGACATTTCAACGAAACGCAACTCGAAATCAGCGGAGAAGGGGATTATAGTGGCGCCGGGGTCATGCGCGTCTACCCATTCCTTGATCGGGGCCAACCTAGGTGCAACCGGAAGAGGGGAACAGATGATGGCGCGGTGTTGTGGCAAAACTGGCGGCCAGTA